CAAAATGTTAAACAAGCCAGTCACTTAAAGCAGGCACATTCAAAAAACAACAAGTAGGTGGTTGGTCGCCAGGGGCTGGGGGAATGAGTGGATAGGGAGTTGTTTAATGTGCATATAATTTCAATTTTGCAAAATTAAAGTTTTAAGGAGATTGATTACAGAACAGTGTGAATGTGCTTAATACCACTGAACTACACACTTGGAATTGCTAAGATGATAAATGTTGGTATGTGTATTTTGCCACCATTATTGCATGTGTGTCCACATTTTCTAGAAGGCATTTGGAATGGGCACAGCAAAAGCCAGGAAAGAACCAGGCTGTCCCTGAGAGCCTGCAGAGCAGCTGTTTCCCTTTAAGCCACGTAAGTCCAACAGGAGGGAGCTGAGGTTTCACAAAAGCCAGAAGTGGCTGTGGGAGCTGCCTCCAACCAAGGCCGCGCACGTCTGCACTCCCTTAGGGAGCCTGTGTGAGTATTGGGAATAGGATTCTTGCTGCTAACTCCTGCCCGGTTACGGGGGCGCGTCGGGGCCCGGACGTGTGGGGGAACCCCCGGCGGGGGGAGGGGAGGGTGGGCGTCAGGAGAAAGTGCTGGAGCGGCGTCCTTGGCAGGCGCGTGGCCGCCGCGGCTGGCGGAGGCGTGGCGACTTGCACCGGGTGCTGCAAATTGAATGGTGGCTAATGCAGCGCCAGGGGGGTGGGTTGGTTGGGAGGAGGTGCGCCGGGACTTTGCCGCCAGAGCGTGAGGTAAAAGAAGGGGTTTGATGGCGCTCAGGGGTTGTGCGCGATTTGGAACGATGCGGGGGGGTGGGGCGAGGGGACGGCTCTTGAATAATTACGGTTTAATAAGCTGTTCTCAGACCCCTTCTCTTAGCGACAGTGAGCGTGGATTTTTAGGTCTGGTTTCACACTTCCCGACACGTGCCTATGGATCCAGGGCCCCCAGTGAGTAATCGGTTTGCAGGAAGTTGGAGTTGCCCGTGTTGGAGGTGTGCGTGTGCGTGTGCGTGTGTGCGGGGGGGGGGGAGTGTTGCACAAGTAGGGACGCTCCCCTCCCCCGCGAGCCTGGTTTGGGTCACGTGGTGGAAAGGGCTCCCAGGTGCTGGCGTCGCGCTGGGACAGGTCAGGTGCTGGTGTTTGCTGCGGAGTTGCCGGATGGCGGTGCGCTCTCCGGCCTGAGGGGTCCGGAGGCGCCGGGCTTCCGCTGTGTGCTTTGCAGTGACGTGTCTGCGCGGTGCAAAGATGTTTTGAAAGCCGTAAGTATCAGAGGTTTCAGAAGTTCACAGACAATGCAGATAATGAAAACACTGTGCATGGGCTTTCAAAAATTTTTTGCCCCCAAATTCACTTAAGTTTTAATCCATTTCCCATTGACTTTCTCAGATCCTCTGGTCTTTCTTCAGGACCTAATACAGTTCCTGGCACACAGCAGGCACTCAGAAAATGACTGTGGAATCCAAACCTCCTCCCTGTTCCCACCGTTATTCTCTTGGTTCAGACCTTTTCCAGTCTCTCTGCTGGCCCTTTCCATGAACCTTGTGAGTGGCCTCTGTCCAGCATGTCTTCCCCAGGGCGTGGGCCACATGGCCACCACAGCTAACTTTCCAAACCCAGAAGGTGCCTTCAAGAACAGTCAGTGGCTTTCTGCCACCAGGACCTGGGGTTCAAGTACAGCAGGGAAAGCACCCATCCAAAATTCTTGTGAGTGTGCAGGTGTGCTGCTTGTATCCCTGCCGTGTCGGCCACTCGCTGGGCAGCAGCTCCAGGCCTTAAGGGCATCAAGGCCCCAAGCCCCTCTGGGGCTTTGCAGGAGGGAGCTGCCTGCTGATGACCCCACAGTCTCACAGCCTGTGCCCCAGCCCCTTAGCCTGGATAACATCTCCAACTTCAGAGAGTGTTGCAGGACCAAGCGGTTAACCTAACACAGCTGTGAAGCCTAGTGACAAAGTACATCCCTTACAGCAAGAGAGTCTGGTTTTCCCAGGGGAAGCTGAGATCTAAATTTTAGGTGAACACTGCTTTCAACAAGCTGACAACTACTTTTTAAAACTTGAAAGCACTGAGCATTGCAGAAGGGACAGACCTGCAGAGGTGCCTCGCAGTCTGGAGGGGGCCATTTGGAGATCTCTGCTTTAAAGGATGGAAAAAATACAAAAAGACCTGCCATGGGGCTTCTTCAGGGCCCAGACCCCGGGATGCAAGTAGCCCTGCTGCCATTCTTATGGGTGGAGGATAGACTGGGATTCCTCTCTGTCAGTGATGCTGTCACAGTGGGTCTCTTCACACGGGATTGTAGTTAGCGGGGCTCTGGCTCCTGGACTTGCCAACGCTGCCGTGTCACATAGACTGGTGGCCTTCAGGGCGCTTGGTCAGGGTCAGACTGTTTACTCATTCTTAGTTCTTCCTCATGTTTCCTTTGTGAGCCCCCCATTCATCTGTCTCCCAGCTCTGCTTCCCTCCACACACGGCTGTAGGAACCCTGACAACCCCTTCATCAGAAGGCCTTGGAGTGGGCAGAAATCTCCCCTGTTCTCTCCCTTCCTTGCTGGCAGTGGCAGAGGGATAGGTGTCCAGAGCCAGCCCCTCACACAGTGGCTTGCCTATGAAGTTCTGAGACTGTTGGAACTTCCCACGGTCTCCTCTCAGGGAGACGGGGCTCCCAGGGCTCTGGGTTCAGCCATCACGGCACTCCTGGAGTCTGGAACATTGGCTCGGACAGGGAGGACCCAGGACGCCATATGGATGCAGTCCCCTTGTAAGCCCAGTCTCTGAAACATAGCTCTAGAGGCCAGACGACTGCTGGAAGCAGATGCTTCATGGGGCATTGATCTAGAAGGAGTGGTTTCCCTCACCCTGAGGGAGGCTAAATTTGGAGGAGATAATCCAGGGACGAATGGGGCTGGCAGGCCACGGAGGCCTCCCGGGTCAGGCTGGTGCCATCCAGCTGTGAGCCTGTCTGCTCTGATGACAGCTGGTGAGGCCAGCCTTGTGGGACTTGCCCAGGGGCACAGAGGGAGGCCTCCCTGCCAAGGTGTCATACGGGTCCCGTCCTCTTCCCCAGGACCCCAGTGAGAGCCTGCTGTTGTGGGAAGGTGGCTAAGCTAAGCCCTCTCACCTGTTTCAGGGCATTTGTTTCCTGTAACTTTTTAAATGTTTATTTTAAATATTTTGATAGTATTTTAATAACTGTATAAATCATCTTATATTGATCTTTAATCTGACCCTTATGTTTTAAATTAGTATTTCATATCCTGTTTGAGTTTATTTGATATCTTATTACCCTACTGACTTTAAACCTTTGCTTATTTAGAATTTCATTAGTTTTAATTTCACAGATTACTTAATTTTAATATTATTTTTTATTAAAGATTAAAAAAAAGGTTTATTTATTTGTTTTAGTTTGAAAGGCAGAGACAGGGAGAGAAAAACGAGCTTCCTTCTGCTGCCTCACTCCCCAAGTGCCAGCAATAGCTAGGGTTGGACCAAGTCAAAGCTGGGAGCCAAGAGCTCCATCTGGGTCTTGCATGTGCGTGCAGGGCACCAGCACGTGGGCCACCTTTAGCTGCCTCCCAGGGTGTGCGTTAGCAGGGAGCTGGTTGGAAGTGAATGGAAGATCTCTCCTCTGTTTCTTTCCCCCTCTCTCTGTAGCTCTGTCTCTCAAATAAATAAATATTTTTAAATAACTACTTATTTTAAAAGAGGAGGGAGTGGAGGGGAGTGGAGCAAGAGAAAGAGAGAGAGAATGTCTCCCATCCATTCGTTTACTCCTATGAGTCATTACCTTCTGCCTCCCAGGGTGTGTATTAGTAGGAAGCTGGAGAGTGAAGCTGGGACTCAAACCTAGTTCCTCCCAAATGGGACGCAGGCATCCCCAGATCCCCAGCTCTGGCTTCACTGCTATGCCAAATGCCCGCCCTTCATGTTGCTTTAGACACAGCATTCTATGGAGTCTTTATTTTGATGCTATGTCATTTAAAATTTGTAGTTTCTAATTGTTTTAATTTATTTTGGCTGCAAGAAACAAACTCATTCTAATGACACCAAGGGATGGACATTTAATTCTAATGACTATGCAGATAAGAACCTGGAGTCCCAGCCAGGATGGGAGGGCCTCGGGAGGAGCTGGAACCCTTGTGGTGTCAGCTGTCATAGGCGCCAGGACCATGCCTCGCCCCAGTTATTTTAAAGGTTCAGAAGCAGATGCATTGTCTGTGTTGGAATCTTTATTCTGTACTCTCTTAACATATGTGACCTACAGCATTTGACCTTCAAAGGCAAGAGGAGAATTATATGGCATCCAGGAATAAGAAACCGCCACTCCGGTTGCCCCAAATGCTGCCTTAGCGGTCATCATAGAAGCCAGAGGAGCAGGGATTGTGCTGCGCTCTTCCCACTGTGGCCCAGCAGCCGGCAGCGTCGGCCTGGCTCCGGTGCTCCTCAGACATTCTCCATCTCAGTTGCCACCCCGGGTCTGTGGAATCCTAGTCTGCACTTGGACCTGATGGACAGGAGCATCCTGTACGTGTTAAATTGAACTGCACAGATCCATACAGTTCTGAAGCGAAGAAAGCTGTAATGCAGTGTTTACACACCCAGCCAACCACTTTCCCTCGCATAAATGCAACAGATTTAACCTTCTCAGAGCTGAAAGAACTAAGGCGGGGTTCTCAACCCAGGCTGCTGCCTTGAACCTGGCAGCTTTCTTGGTTTCCCTCGCCCCCCCTTACAAAGCTCCTTTGTACATAAGGATGATCAAGGATCTTTAGAGAGAATGCTATTGCATGGATCCTGCCCCTTGGACCTCCTGATTGAATCGATCTAGGATGATGCATGGAGTTCAGTAGTTTGTCGGACGCTCCCAGGGTCATTGCGATATGTGGCCAAGGGTGAGAATCCTGGAACCAAAGGAAACCAGATCCATGAACCCTTCTTGAAAAGAGTCCACATGGATAGACATCAGACAACAAAGAAATGACTCAAACTAAACAGGAGTGAAGTAAGTTTGAATAAATTTTAAAATAAGCCACAACTAAGTAACTAGGTCTTTTGGTTAAAGAATATAACAATTGGAACTTTAGAAGGCACAACTCAGGCTGTCCATCCCCTAAATTTCTATGTATGCTTGTTCTCTCTCACTAACTGTATTTTTTTTTTTTTTTTTGGTTTTATACCATCAGCTTTCTGAGTTTCAAACCACTGATTCTTGCTCCCCCTCTTCCCATCTCACCAGTGGCAGGCTTACTTGACAGTGGAAATGAACTTGCCTGTCTGTCCTCAGACTGGTTTTCTAGAAGGGACCAGAAATCTGAGGGGAAGCTTTGTGCTATAGAATCGGAGTGCGAGGCATCAGTGTGAGCTCACGATTGTACTCGTGTTTGTGTTATTATGTCGCGTCATCCATCTCAGCGGGTCCCGCCTTGCAGATTCCCTCACGTCAGCTGCCCCAACCTCTGATTTCTTCCTCCAGGGCTTGGCAGGATATTCGTGCTCTGCTCAGATTCCAGATCACTACGCTGCAGTCAGGACGATGTCTGCAAGCAGAGTGCCAGGGCCATCATGGGGCTCCCTCTAAGGTTTCCCTGCTTCAGGGATCGATTGCAGACTTGCGCCGCCCATGCTCCAACGTCTGTGAGCTCTCGCCTTACGTTCTGTCCAGTTTTACAGGTAAGGCAAGAGATTCCCCATCACAGACAAGTGCAAGTGTCGGGCTATGTGCTTGTAGTTGATAATAGTATTATATTAAAGTTAAGTGTCCTGAAATTGACCATCGCACTGTGGTGATGAAAGTATTCCTAGGATATACAGGATGAAGTACTTTGGATAAAAGGTTATGATGTCTGCAACTTATTCTCCAACGGTCCAGTGAATCTACTAGTATAAATAGCAGTAACATGTAGATGGATAGGGAACAAGAGGGATGTTGACAGAGCATATATGGAACTTGCTATCTGTGGTGAACCTGGGTGAACTGTATTTGGGAGTCTTTGATGCTATTTTAGATTTGCTCTATAAATTCAAAATTTTTTCTGAAATAAAGAGTAAATAAAACATCCTCTAGAGTATGGACAGGACTTGAAGACTCATTTCAAAAGGTTAAGGGTATGAAAGAAAAAAAGAAGTAGGATTGCAGTGTAGAAGCCTTGTGGAGCCCACCTTACTCAAGGGATCCGGTGACAGCCGTGGGCTGCCAGGCACCCAGTGAAGTTAAGTGATGAGAAGGGCTCTTGTCCCTCGTGATTTTCTCACATGGATAACTCAAATTAACAACTAATGGGTGTCTTTAATATACCATTCTCTAAGTACCTTTTTTTTTAAATAAAATATTTATTTGTTATTTGAAGGCAGAGTTACAGAGAGGCAGAGGCAGGAGGGGTAGGGGAGGTCTTCCATCTACCAGTTCATTCCCCAGATGGCCACAATGACAAGAGCTGCACCCATCCGACGCCAGGAGCATTTTCTGGGTCTACCACATGGGTGTAGGGGTCCAAGGACTTGGGCCATCTTCTACTGCTTTCCCAGGCCATAGCAGAGAGCTGGATTGGAATTGGAGCAGCCAGGACTCGAACTGGTGCCCATATGGGATGCTGGCCCTGCTTTACCAGCTATGCCATGGTGCTGGCCCCTCTAAGTACCTTGGGGTAGGTCTTCCATCTGCTGGTTCACTCCCTAATTGGCTCCAATGGCCCAAGCTGTGCTGTTCCAAAGCCAGGATCCAGGAGCTTCCTCCAGGTCTTCCCACGCAGGTGCAGGGGCCCAAGGAGTTGGGCGATCTTCCACTGCTTTCCCAGGCCATAGCAGAGAGCTGGGTCAGAAGTGGAGCAGCTGGGACTCTACCCAGCTGCTCATACGAGATGGTAGTGTCCCAGGTGGTGGCTTAATTGTGATGCCACAACATCGGCCCCTGCCTACTGTTATATCTTGTGTTCTCTAGTCAAAGAATTACTGGATTGACAGCCCTTGAATAAAGTTCCCTTTCTACTATTATCAGCTGTGACCAAGAGAAAGGCTCGCTGGAGTACACCATGGCAGCCCCACTCATCACTTGTTGAGGACAGGAGAATTTTCCTCAGAAATGGCCCTGTGCATGGGAAAGATCATTGCTGACACAGCCAGCACCACAAGTCACATGTTGCATGCAACTGGGGGCAAACTCAGACCACTGGAGAGAGTGGATAATCCTGAGTGGTATTTTTAACCAAAGTGATTCTCTTGCTGGGTGACTCTACTAAGTTGTCATTATTTTTAATACGTTCAGTGCTCTCTCCTTGCTCCCTACCCGCACCCTAATCTGTGGCCCTGTGAATATGTTTCCCTTAAAGGAAAGAAAAATTGCAAGATGGGAAATGGGGAGATGATCTCAGATTATCCAGGTGTGCCCAGCTAATCCAGGAGTCCTTCAAAAGTGGAGAGCCTTTCCTGGGTCAGTGAGAAGAGACGGAAGGAGGAGAGGGGGAGCTTTGGAGTGCTAGGACAACTCAAGCTGTCATTGCTGGCTTGCAGATGGAGGTGGGAGGCCCAGAAACAGACCTCCGTCCTACAACCCCAAGGCTGGAGTTCAGCCAATGGCCAGAATGAGGAAGTGAGGGATCGCCCCCTGTGGCCTTCAGAAAGAAATGCAGACTGCCGTTCCCTCACTGCAGTTTGCTGGGACCCACCGAGGCCCTCCAACCTACAGAGTTATGAGATAATGAACTTGCACTGCTTTTCGCTGTGTGAAGTGTATGGGAATTCATCCTATACATACCAGGCCAATAAGTTTATGCTAATTCATCATGGCTGTAGTTGAAAACCAATACAGTAGGTCTCGTAGGAAGATGGCATTTTGTTTTACTTTTTATGAATTAATTTTAATTGTTTGCAAGCCAGTGAGTTAGAGTCAGGGAGAGACCTTCTCTTCACTGGTTCACTCCCCAAATGCCCACAATGGCCAGGGCTGGGCCAAACTGAAGCCAGAAGCCGGGAACTCAATCTGGGTCTCCCATGTGGGTGGCAGGGATCCAGGTACTTTAGCCATCACCTGCTGCCTCCTGGGTTGTGCACTAGCAGGATGCTGGAGTCAGGGTCAGAGCTGGGATTTGAACCCAGGTACTTTGATAATGGGATTTGGGAGCCTGAACTCTTAGGCTAACGATTGTCCCAGAAGGTGACATGTCAGTGAAGACTTGAAGGAGGTGAGAAAGGGAGTCTTGAGCAGATCTAAGGAAAGAGCATTGCAGACCCAGAAAACAGCAAGTGCAAGGGCCCTGAGTTAGAAGCTTGTGCAGCATGTCCTTGAAGAGTAAGGAGGCCAGTAAGCCTAGTACAGAGTGAGCTGGGAAGAGAGGCAGGGAGAGGACGTGAGAACAGGAGGGTTTGCCCTCTGTGCTGTGAAATCAGACTGCCTGCACTTCCTGCCCTGTGTGGAGCCAGGTGTCCACCTTGACCTTCTTCTGATGGAGAAATAGGGCACTCAGCCCACTGCACCTGCTGCCCGACTCCATCCACCAGTGGTAGTTTTCAGCATCCTCACTGCTTGGTTCCCTCACCTCTGATACCACGTCCTACCACTGGCCTAACAAGGCATCCCCAATGGCCTTGTGTTCCGGAACTGGTTCTCAGACCTAAGGAGTGGCTGCCTGTGGATCTGGTCACTCTGAAAATCAGCGTGGCTCAGATGCTGTGCAACCAGCATGGTTTCTGAGCCTGATTTTCAGATATTAGGATTCCTGTCATGGAAAGTTGGTCGTGGCGAAATCAGGTGTGCTGACTTTTTCATAGGACCGAGTGTCACAGCCTAAAGGACATCTGGGATTTTCAGTGCTCACCGCCCCACCTTCACGGTTTCCGTTGTTGAGCTGAGAGTCTGAGGATATATTATTTTGGCAGCCGTTAGGTGAATTGGCCACGTTTATATCTGTCAAGCTCCAGAGCACTGTTAGCAAGCATTGCAGGTCACATTTCAGGAAACTTTTTTTCTGCTTCATGTGGGTCTACAGTAGAGTGGGTGTGATTTGTCTGAACACTGACAGTTTCTGCCCAAGGCCCCTGAGGTTCGTTGGCCTATCCTTCCTCATCACAGTGGAGAATATGTGATTTCCTGCTTGCACAGTAAAGAGAGTAACTGAGTCAGAGTAGGACAAAAACATTGTCTCCTCATTTCTACTTGTGCGTTGTCCTCAGCAGTCCCTACCCATGATAGTTCTGACATATTACATTTACTGCTCCTGGTGGGGAAATTGTATTGATGTCGGGCGTGGATCACTAGATCCTGGTTGATTTTATTAATCCAGGTGTCCCCGTGAATCCAAGTATCCCCAGTACCCAGCACCATGCCTGGCATTCCATAAATATTTTAAAAATTCACTCCTCCACCTATCTTGTCATAAAATGAATGGCCCTTGTAAAGTTTTTAGACTTTCAATATTGAAAATAAGTAAAATGTTGTGGCATTGACAATTTTATGCAGTTGAGAAAAGTGTTGCCTTATCTCTTAAATTTATCTATCAATCGATCTACATTTCATTTGTGGGGGGGGGGGAAGGGATAGATATCTTTCATCCATTGCTTCACCCTCCAAATGCCCACAACAGCTGGGGCTAGACCAGGCCAAAGCCAGGAGCTGTCATTTGGGTGACAGGGGCCCAAACACTTGGGCTGTCTCCTCTGCTTTCCTAGGCGTATTAGCAGGAAGCTGTATTGGAAATGGAACAGCTGGGATATGAACTAGCACCCATATAGGATGCCGGTGTTGTAGTTGGCAGCTTTACCTGCTGTGTCTCAGCGATGACCCCCCAGGTGATGGCTTAACTGCTGTGCCAAATACCTGGCCTGCATTATGTTACCTTTTACTTCATTCATTGTTGGAAAATATTGTTGAGAAACTTGAGTCTCATGGGAATAATAGACTGGACATATATTAAAAATGGGTTGTAAATTAACTAGAGAAAACTGAAATTTAAAAGGGGGCCTAAAGAGATAAATTGATGAAATGTTTTGTAACTGGAAAAAAAAGACAACCTTCTAGATGGATTGGTTCAGTCGCTTGTAGTCTGAGGTTTTAGTAGTGGAGGCCTCTGATTGAAGACATTGACAGCTCTCAAAACTTGTTTGTCGTGCTTGTCGGTGTCAGGAGAGCAAGCCACACAGTGTCTCCGGGCTGGTTCAGTGCAGTGGGCCTGGGCAGAGAGCCATCCAAGTCACTGGATTCCTCACCTTGCACAATCTCCTATTGACTGAGCTACCTTCTATGGCCAGATCATCCGAAATCCATAATGCCAGTAGCCGACTGGATGAAAGTAAAAAAAAAAAAAAAAAAAAAAAAAAAAAGCCTGCAAATGATATTTTCCCCACATGCAGAGATGTCTGTCCTGCAGGAGGCCTGTCCTGCTGCAGCACAGCTCCTTAGGTGCAGTGCCTTGAACAGCAGACCTTTATTTCTGACAGTTCCTGGAGCTTGGAAGTGTCCATCAGGGTGCCAGCAGGGTTGGGTGCTTAGGGAAGGCCTCTTCCAGGTTGCAGGCTGCTGACTTCTCCTGGAGGCACACACAGTGGGAAGAGGCTGATCGGCGTCTCTGGGCTCTTCTCCTAAGGTCATGGTCCCAATCCTGGGGTCTCTACCCTCATGACCCGGCTGTCTTCCAAATCCCACTTCTTCACACCATCTTATTGGGGCTTAGATTTCATCACATGAGTGTGGGGGTGGGGTGTAAACATTCAGTCCATTCCGAGGAGGATGGCAGGTTCTCTTTGATCTCTCTGTGGGTCTTGGCATCTAGGACAAAGTATTTATTTATTAAACCTGGGAGTACTTCCAAGTGGAGCCGAGTATTCTTGACATACTATTTTAAGGATATTGCTTAAATCCAAATGTGCTCTCTCCAGTATTCACTGTTAAAGAGAAGACATATCCGGATTATACAGATCCTGCACATCCAATGAAAGGCATGTATCCGGAATGTGTGAGTGCAGAATCTAAATCCACGAGATCCACAGGTAGTTGTACAGCCCTGCTTTGTCACCTAGTAGCAGAATGTGTTCTGAGAAATGCATTTTTTTGAAATGTTTACTTATTTTTTTTTGAAAGTCCGAGTTACACAGAGGAAAGAGAGAGAGAGACAGACAGACAGAGAGGTTGGTCTTCCAACCGCTGGTTTACTCCTCAGTTGGCTGCAATGGCCAGAGCTATGCCGATTCAAAGCTGGGAACCAGGAACTTCTTTTGGGTCTCCCACATGTGTGCAGAGGCCCAAGGACTGGGGCCATCTTCTGCTGCTTTCCCAGGCCATAGCAGAGAGCTGGATTGGAAGTGGAGCAGCTGGGATTCAAACCACTGCAGACAGTGGCTTTACCTACTATGCCACGGCGCCGGCCCCGAGAAGTGCATTGTTCAGGTGGTTTGATGATTGCGTGGACGTTGCAGAATGTACTTAGGCAAACCGGGAAGGTCTAGCCTTCCACACATCCCAGCTGTGCGGTATAGCCTGTTGCTCTGAGCCCTTACTGCGTGGTACCATGTTGAAGAGTGTCAGCTGTTGTAACATGCAGTGTCTGTGTATCTGATCATAGAAAAGGTGCAGTAAAGGTATGGTGTAACAGTAAGTGACACCTGTGGAAGACGCATATTAGGAACGGAGCTTACAGGCCCGCAAGCCTGGCTGTGGGCGAGTCTGTGAATGTGAACGCCAAGGGTACTGCTGGTCCCTGCTGCCGCCTTTACAAACACTGGACGCTCAGGGCACACTGAATTCTTCAACTTTGCTCCTTTCTTCAGTAATAAATTGGCCTCATCTTACTGTAACCTTTTTCCTTTGTAGCCTTTATGGTTTTTTTTTTTAACTTTCTGACTCTTTTGTAATTACACTGAACTTAAAACACACACATTGTCTGGCTGCACAAAAATGTTTTTCCCTTATATTCTTATTTGAGGAGCTTTTTCTGTATTTAAATTATTTGATTTGATTTTTTATTATCATTATATTTTTTTGTTAACTAAGTGAAGACATACACACATGAGCCTAGGCCCTTGTAGGGCTGAAATCTTGTTCACTGTCTCCACCCCCACATCTGTTCCCACTGGAAGGGGCTTTAGCCCCAGGAGCTGCCTGTGTGTGAGGACAACTCCTCCTCCTGGACACTCGCAGAACCTGCCTGCAGCGCTTGTCAGCAAGCTATCCACAGCAGTTTCCTCAGTGTCTTCATCAGCGATCTGCCCAGAAGCAGGAGAGGCACCGTGCACTTTCTTGGTGTTTGTGAGAACCTTTGCTGTTGGAGATCCCTGTTGCCTAAGATTTTGTGAGAAGGCCTGCAAGGGCTCATGCAGCAGCACCATCTGCAAAGACAAAAACAAAGGCAAAAACAGGCTGAGTGCCTGACCCCGGTGCTCTGCCGCCCTAAGCTTCGTGCTCAGTACAGGTCTTCTTGCAGGTTCTTCTTGTAAAATTCACCTCGCTACAAAAGACCTGGGGTTGGCAGTCCTGGGCTGCCCCCCTAGCTGTGTACACCTGGGAAAATCACTCCATCTTTCTGTTTCCTTATCTCAGTAATGGGAGTGGTTATGGGATAAGATGCGCCATAGAGTGTTGAGTGAAAGTTAAAGCCCTAAACAAACATTACTTGTGATTTGCTTAGGAGGCAGCCTAGCACTGGGATTGAGAGCGTGGATTTGAAATGAGGCGTCTTGGTTGCTGTGACCTTAAGCAAGTTGCTTCTCTATATTTATGTTGTCTTGTCTGACTAAGGGGACAGTTTTCATGAGGGTAGCATCCTTGTGTGATGTTACAAGGATCAGGTGACAGAATGTGAGACCTCCCTGTATGTGCTCGTCTTTCTGGCTGAGATCGGTGGTCACGCAGCGGTGTGGAAAGATGAGAAGGAGGGAAGACGGGGTGGCTTCTGTCGGGCCCGTGGCCGTGTGCCCCTGCTTCACTGCACCTCTCTTGGGAGCAGCGTTTCCATTGTATGCTGGGGCCCTCCGGGAGACGTGTCCCTGATCTTCTTACCCGCCCCAGTGTGGCCAGACTTTAGCCCCTGTCACTTGCTTAACTGGTGGGTGTTAAAACTGTCCGGTTAGGACTGTGTCTCCATTAGACAGTTTTTCCCCTGAGTGATGTTAATGTGTTTGATTCAGAAAGGAGACAGGAGAGTGATGTGTGCCTCTACCTATGAAAACAATGCACTGTTCTACGCATGTATGTATACTGATTCACTGAATTTGTGAGGGAAGTCTACCATTACCTGGGTGCTGAGAAGTTAAGCAACTTGGCTCCTGTTCAGGCCGCCAACCCTCACCAGGCTGTTTTGCCTTTGCTGTTACCAACAGTGTGCAGGGGCCTCCATAGTAACATTTAATTATTTGAAAAAATAGCAGAGGGTCATTTCTTTCTATTTAAAAAACTTACTAAGAAGACTGATTGCAAACAGTTTTTCTTTTTTTGGTTAAAGATTTTACTTACTTATTTGAGAGAGTTACAGAGAGAGGGAGAGACCGAGAGAGGTCTTCCATCTGCTGGTTTATTCCCCACATGGCCACAATGGCCGGAGCTGAGCCGATCCAAAGCTAGGACCCAGAGCTGCTTCTGGGTCTGCCATGTGGGTGCAGGGGCCCAAGGAGTTGGGCCATCTTCTGTTGGTTTCCCAGGCCATAGCAGAGAGTTGGATTGGAAGAGGAGCAGCCGGGACATAAACTGGCAGCCATATCGGATGCCAGTGCCACAAGTGGAGACTTGGCCCACTATACCACAGCGCCAGCCCCATGATTACAAACAGTTTTTAAGATCACATTAATTTAACAGCCATGCAATTCTGATTCTTAAAAAAATAGGTGTATTTAGGTTAGAAATAAAGAGCGTCTCACCATTATTTTTTTCATATTGGAAGAGATTTTTAAATAAGTTGCTTAATCCCCCTCTAATGTGTACTTTATATATCTTTTAATCTTTAGCATTTTTTTCCCTTGCATATCAACTCAGATTTGGCTTATTGGGATCTACACTGCCCAGTATGGTTGGAGTACACCTTGAATGCTTCTGAACTATCCGGTTGAAAGTTTCGCTCTGTCAGTTGCTTTTTTTGCATGTTGTAATACCAGTTTTCCCTAGAAAGAGATTTTCTTTAGTTTAGCAATGACTTTGGTAATATTTAGACATTATCTGTTTAACAGCAAAATGCCTTGATCCTAGTGGGTACTTAAGAAGAAATAACTGATTAATAGGTACTTATGACAAAGTCTGTATAAATATCTATAAATATCTGTGTTTATATCATATCAGAATACTCAGCTTACAACTGACTTTTAAGAAAATTATTGATCAGAAACACATTTACCCCATGGCCCTAGCTAATGATAACTTTCTGTTGCCATTTCCTGCTGTTCAAGTAGCAGGGGTCTGGGAGGGGGGAAAGGGTAGGGACCCACACGTGGCAGGAGAACCCCTAAAACCTTAGCTCTCAGACCTAGGAAACTGAAAGGCCCCTGTTTTCCTGGCTGGAGTTGTAGCATAGTGGATGAAGCCACTGCCAGTGATTCTGGCATCCCATATGAGTGCCAGTTCACATCCTGGCTACTCCACTTCCAATCTAGCTTCCTGTTGATGACCTGGGAAAGCAGTAGAGGATGGCCCAGGTGCTTGGGCCCCTGTCACTCACATGGGAGGTCTGGATGAAACTCCGGGGTCCTGGCTTCTGGCTTCAGCCTGGGCCAGTGCTAGCTGTGGCAGCCATCTGGGGAGTGAATCAGCAAATGGAAGATTTCTCTCTCTCTCACTCTTGTTCTGCAACTGACTTTGAAAATAAATGATAAATCTTAAAAAATAAAAAGCTCCCTTTTTATAATTAAAAAAAAATTGAGAGGGAAACACACAGAGAGAAACAGAGACATACACATAGACACACAGAGACAGCTCCCCTCTGCTGGTTCACTTATCAATGCCTGCAAGCACCAGGTGGGAGCTAGGGCTGAAGACTGGAGCTGGGAACTAGATTCAGCTCTCCCCCTGGGTGGTAGGGACTGAATTCCTGGAGCCATGGCTGCTGCCTCCCGAGGTCTGTGTTGGCAGAATGCTGGAGTCAGGATCTGGAGCTGGCAGTTGTTGAACCTAAGTGCTCTGCTGTATGTTAACCATGAGGCTAAGCACTGCTCCAACCCCCCTTTTTATTTTTTAAAAGATTTTATATATTTATTTGAGATGTAGAGTTACATACAGTGAGAGGTAGAGACAGAGAGAAAAGTCTTCCCTCCATTGGTTCACTCCCCAGATGGCCGCAATGGCCAGAGCTGCGCCGATCTGAAGCCAGGAGCCAGGTGCCTCCTCCAGGTCTCCCATGCAGGTGCAGGGGCTCAAGGACCTGGGCCATCTTCCACTGCTTTCCCAGGCCACAGCAGAGATCTGGACTGAAGAGGGGCAGCCAGGACTAGAACTGGTGCCCATATGGGATGCCGGAGCTGCAGGCGGAGGATTAACCTACTGTGCCACGAAGCTGACCCCAAACCCCTTTTTATAAAAAATATTGTAATAGGCTTCTTTGGTAGCCTTAAATGAAATTCATAGAAAATATAGTCTATAATATACATTAAAAATAATATACCTACACTTTGGTTAAAAGCAGAATTAAAAGGCTGTAGATTAGAAGGTCTTCAAAAATTCATGAAAAAAATGCATCTAAAAAACTATGCATGGATTTCAGTTTTTTTTGCAGCCAAAGAGACTTACATTTTAATTCCATTGTCTACCACGTCTTTGAAGTGCACTTGTGCATGTTTATGTGTTGTGTATACATTTCTCTATGGAAATGTACATATGTTGCTATACTGTAATGCATAATAAAGTAGTCACATGCTTAGATTGATAATATATTTGAATTTAAAAAATACTGGAAAATCTTTGAATTTTTTTATATTTGACAATTTTCTTGAAAGGTTTATTTATTTGAAAGGCAGAGTTACGAGAGGGAGAGGCAGAGAGAGATACTTTTCTTGCACTGGCTCACTCTCTTAAGTGTCTGCAATGGCCAGGTCTGGGCAAAACTGAAGCAAGGAGCCAGGAGCTTCATCCCTGTCTCCATGTGAGTGCTTGGTGTCCAAGCACTTGGGGCATCTTCCACTGCTTTCCCAGGCACATTTGTAGGGAGCTGGATCGGAAGTGGAGAAGCTGGCTCTTGAACCACTGTCTGTATGCAATGCTGGTGCTGCGGTTGGCGACTTTACCTGCTATACCACAGCTCTGACCCCTATATCTGATGTTTTGAATGAAGACTAAGAAGGTATATTTAAATGTACACTTAGAATGCCTGTGAATCAAGAGTGATAAACAAATTGAAGTGACTCAATGTCATTTGTGGAAATGCTGCTAGTGACATCAGCACCAAAGAGGGGTTGACAAAGCTTTGTAAAGATCTCAGTGAAATAAACACGCTCTTCCCTCAACTCACCTGAACACTCAGTTTTACTAAAACAATGCTAAAAATATTTTGCACTTGTATGTGAAATAGATGTGGTATTCAATGTTGTAAGTGACATGGGACAATAATTGTTCATTGCTTTGGGTTGAACTGTGAGATTTTTAACATATTTGACTTCCTACCATATTTTGAAAATTAGGATTTTTAACAGATAAATCATGATAAAAAATGTGTTGATATATGTCCACAATGTGGAGTAGTTAAACCAAGCTTTTTAGCATACCCATCACCTCACTAATTTTTTGTGGTGAAACATTTCAGGTTTCCTTTTAGCCATTTCGAAGTAGTAATGCATTTGCAATATGCAGTACTTTACCCATAGTCATCCTGCTACGCAGTGCATCTCAGAACCTTACCTCTGCTGTCTGGCTGGAACCTGGTGCTCTGTGACCAGCATCTCCCCACTGCCGCCCAGCCCGAGCCTCTGCTAAGCACCGTTCTAGCCTCTGTGAGTTTGACTTTTAAAAATTCTACACTTAAGTGAGATCCTATGGTATTTGTCTTTCTGTGGCTGACATTTCTTTACATTGTTTTTAATTCTTTCTTTTTTTCTTCCACTTAGGTTGACTTATTTCATGTAGTATAATGTCCTCCAGATTCATCCGTGCCATCACAAATGACAGAATCCCTTCTTTTTAAAGGCTGAATAATAATACAATCCCATCAAGGTGGCATGTACCAATGCCATCTCATAGTCCAAGTGATCAATTTCAGTTCACAATTGATCACACTGATAGGTCTAAGAGTCAAAGGGATCACACAAACAAGACTAGTGTCTGCTAGTACTGAGTGATAGAATCAAAAAGGGAAGCGGGATACACAGCAGACTCATAGAATGGCAGATGTCCTAAATAGCACTCTGTCCTCAGAATCAGCCCTTAAGGCATTCGGATATGGCTGAAGAGTCCATGAGAGTATTTTAGGCATGGAAAGCCAAGACACTCTGGAAAAAAAAAAAAAAAAAAGACCTAAATGGAAGATCTCCGCGAGTGAGATCCCAGTGGAAAGAACGGGGCCATCAAAGAAGGAGGTACCTTTCTCTGAAGGGAGGAGAGAACTTCCACTTTGACTATGACCCTGTCAGAATAAGATCGAAGTTGGTGAACTCAAAAGGCTTCCATAGCTTTGGCAACTCATGACTAGAGCCTAGGGAGATTACTGACGCCATAAACAAGAGTGTCAAATTGTTAAGTCAACAATAGGAGTCACTGTGTACTTACTCCTCATGTGGGATCTGTCCTTAGTGTGTTGTCCAATGTGAAGTAATGCTATAACTAGTACTGAAACAGTATTTTACACTTTGTGTTTCTGTGTGGGTGCAAACTGATGTAATCTTTACTTAATATATACTAAATCGATCTTCTGTATATAAAGATAATTGAAATGAATCTGATGTGAACGGAATGGAGAGGAGCGGGAGATGGAAGGGTGTGAGTGGGAGGGAAATTATGGGGGGGGGAAGCCATTGTAATCCATTAACTGTACTTTGGAAATTTATATTTACTAAATAAAAAAATTTCATTAAAAAAAGGCTGAATAATATTCCATTGTGTGTGTGGGTGTGTGTGTATGTGTGTGTGTTTTAAAGATTTATCTTTATTTACTTGAAAGAGTTACAGAGAAAGGTAGAGACAGAGAGAGAGGTCTTCCATCCGCAGGTTCATTCCCCAGATGGCTACAATGGCCGGAGCTGAGCCAATCCGAAGTCAGGAGGCAGGCGCTTCTTCTAGCTCTCCCACGCGGGTGCTGGGGCCCAAGGACTTGGGCCATCTTCTGGTTTCCCAGGCCATAGCAGAGAGCTGGATCGGAAGTGGAGCAGCTGGAACTAGAACCAGCACCCATATGGGATGCTAGCACTGCAGGCTGGGGCTTTAACCCGCTGCGCCACAGCGCCAGCTCCTCCATTGTGTATTTACACCACGTTTTCTTCATGTATTCATCTGTTGATGGATACTTCAAATTGATTCTGTATCTTGGCTTGTTGTAAACAGTGCTGTGGTAAACACAGAAGTACAGCTCTCTGATATATTGATTTCATTCCCTTTGGATATATACTCAGTAGTGAGATGGCTGGATTAAGGTAGACCTATCTCTGGTTTTCTGAGGCCCCATCATACTGGTTTCCTTAGTGGCTCTAAGAATTGACGTTCTTACCACCAGTGCACAAGAGTTCTCTCCCTCCGCATCCTTGTGGTGCTGGTGTTTTTCCTAACCACCATCCTTGCAGGTGTGTGGTGGCACCTCATTGTGGTTTTAATCTGCCTTTGCATGATGATTAGTGATACAGAGCAGTTTTTCATCAGCCCATTAGATTTGTGTGTCTTCATTTGAGAAATGTCTGCCCAGGTCCTTTGTTCACTTTTTAATCTGATTATTTGTTTTCTTGCTATTTTATTTCCTCACTGTATTACATGGAAATTGCTTCTTATCCTTGGAACTACCAGAAAGATCCTTGCAAACTCCCACATGCCCCTAGTGGGTGGAATTGGCTCCACTGCGAACCACCATCCTGGAGGTTTGTGGTAAACTGGAATAGAAGGAATTTTATTAAGTCTTACCAGAGACTCTGGATGGAATTCACAGTGGCTTTCTAGCACATCATTCCATGGAACTTTGAGGCTATTATTTTTTTTATAAAATTTGTATTTGGAAAATGGAACATTGCAAGTCATCTGTAGTGCAATGCTGTTCTTTGCTTTGACGGAATAACTTTCCGTGACCTTGCAAATATACCTATCTTTGCAAACAGATTCTTGTCAAGTCTAGACTTTCAGATTCTGGTTCATATTTAGGACATTCTGAATCCTGAGTGACTCAAGTCACATTACATGAGCCAAGTGTGGATTTTGTACTGGCTCCCTAATCCCTAATGTGGTATTATCTCTCCAAAAGTCTCACTCTTCATGAATGAGAAAATTGTTATCACTTGATAGATGCCTGGTGGCCTTAGTGAAACGAGTTGTTCCTTTTGGTCAAATTCTCATCAGATAATAATGACCAATTACTACTAGACTGAACAGAGAAACTAAGTTTAACGAGGTCTATACAGCTATAAAAGGACATTTCATAAAGTTTCGGGACAGTATATTTTATGAAAGAACTGTGTGGCTCTCAAAATATTTTTGCATCAAAAGAAACATCATTTAATTACGTTTTCCACAAATAACTTAAAAATTTAAAAAAAAAAATGAGAGGCAGGCAGACCGATGGCTCTCCAAATGCCCACAGTAACTGCGATGTGTCATGGCCGGAAGCTAGGAGCTGGGAATGCAACCTGGGCCTCTCCTGTGGGTTGTAGGAATGCAATCGTGCGAGCCATCACGGCCACCTCCCAGCCTCATCAGCAGGAACTCCTGCGTGGCCTGGGGGTGTCTTAACCATTGGGCTAAATACATGCCTCTCTGTGAACTTCCTGAATGGCACCGTGACTCTGTTGCATTAGAAATGATCTTTGGAAATGAGCAGATGAAATATATTCAATTCTATTTCTTTTGGGGAGGGGGGGCAAAGTCATTCCTTAAGCCCTTGGAGTAAGTGGCTAATTCTCTTTCAAAAACAACATGGCAAAGGAATGAAAATAAAGTTAAAAAGCAAACTTGTTAAGTGATGAGTATCTGTATTTTCTCAGGGTCTCCCTCAAGTCAGGGTTCCCTTGATACTGCTTTGGAAACCTGAAAGTTTGACGGGCGGTAGCTGCTGCCCCCTAGTGGAAGACTCCTTGATACTGCAGACATCAGTAACCAGGGAAGCCACAGCCAAATGAATGGGAAATAAATTAAAGTGCCTTGTTGAAACGATGCAGATACTTTAGAAAGTTATAGTATGTGTTATTTCAGAATGAGTATTAGAACACCTTTTTCTATAATTGCTTGCAGTAATAGTCATTTAATGTTTTTCTGTCATTGCTTCAAGTTGGACTTTATTAACATCACTCTCAGTTTTACCCACTTGCTGGCTGGCTGTGTCATTTGCAGCACCCAGTGCTAAATGAAAATATGGTACCCTTGTATAACAAACAAGGGGAAAGTTGCTGCTAAAGGTACCTTTAGGATGCCTTTTCTTTTCCTTTGCAGTCTTTCTCTCGGCTTCTTAAATTTTTTAAAATTAGCTGTTTAATGCCATTCAAAAGAAAAATTGGAATTTTAATTATTGATATGTATTTTACCATACATCTTTATGTTGTGGAATGCCAGTTAGTACAAATAGAAGAGCAAATGTAACTTGTATTAAGTGCAAAAATCACTTTTGTTTTGGAATTACTGGAATTACACAGATTTGTATTTTGTAGCTCACATATGTATTTATATATATATTATATATAATATATGTGTATTTTCCTTCTTATCAGCAGAGTGGAAATACTGTACAAAACGACTCTCCACTGTTTTTATTTCACTTCTTGACTTATACACGTTCAACCCAACGGTCCGTACCTCTGGCTCCCTGGTGAGGAAGGACTTAAAGACAAAGGCCTGTTGGCTTCCCTGTCCATCTGTCCCTTTCCTTCTATGCCCACGTTTTTGGCATAAGTGGTTGGATAAGTAGCAGAATTAAGAAAGCAGGTGATGGGGCTTCTAGAGCCTTTATATTTCTGGAACAGCTTAGTCTTCTCTCTCTGTTAGAAATAAGTTGTGGTTCAGGAGGGAAGAGTGGCCTCTTGTGGCTCTGCTTCTGCTGTGGTTGTGGGGGTTAATGCCCCCTTGCACTGGCTTTAAGTCCTGCTGAATTCTCCTGCTCTGTGGGCCCCCTGGGACTCTGTGTTCTTGGAAGATGGTGAACTCCATCTGCAGGTGGGGAGGCAAGGAACGGTGGAATTGAATTGCGTGCATCTCTGCTCTCAACATGCCCTGTGTCCCACCAGACTCCACTTAAAAACACAAGTTCATAAATAAAATTACTGAGAATTTTATGTTGCTGATAGCAGAGTGTCAAACCAAGCACAGGAGCTTTCTGAGTGCAGGCCCTTGTACAGTTGCACAGGGTGTTTGGGCAAGCTGTGTAAGCTGTGTAACTTCAGTCAGTTACAAAAAAAGAACAGCCCCAGTCTGTTGCTGCTTGTGTGCACATCCATCAGTTTCAAGTAGGACTGTGCAAATCAGGCTGTTTGGAAGATTAAGGAGGGACTTTTCTTGTACACATCCAGTGGTTAACAGTTACCCACAGGCAGAGACAGCTGACCTGGGATTCTGTTGTAGGAGTCACGTGCTTGGGTCCTGGCCTCCATGACGCCGACTTGCACTCTGGTTCAAGGTCAGAGCCATTGCTTTGAGGTGAGGATAGAGATGTTAAGAGCATTCTTGACTATATCTAACGAGGTGTTTTGAAGGACTGAACAACTGCAGGGTATTTTCTGTAACAAAGCCAGACAAGGTTTTCTGATTCCTAAGCATGAACACTTAACAAGAGGCAGAATTGGTTCACTTTCATTTATACCATACTTTTAACTACACAGAGTAATTAACATACTTAAGCGGGTAGAGAGTGGAATTTTGTACCTGGATACAATATGTAATGATCAGATCAGAGGAACTGGCATATTTGTAGTCTCAGGTACATTTCTTTGTGTTGGAGACGTTCGAAAGCCTGTCCATTAGGTACTCTGAAATAGCCAGTAAATGGTAGTCAACTACTGCAGGTACAGAAGTCAGTCCTCCTGTCCCTCTGCGCCTCTGCCCGTTGACCACCCACTCTCCCTGCCTTCCCCCTGCTCTTTCCAGGCTCTGGTGACCGCTCTTCTGTTCCCTGCTTCTTTGAAATCAGCTTTGGATTTCTCATGTACGTTTTAGCTTTCTGTGCTTGCCGAACTGCCCTTAACCTAATACCCTCTGATTGCATCCATGTCACTGCAAAGAACAGACTGCCTTTCTTTTTAAAGGCTTAATAATATTCCAGTGCCTATAGGTACCACAGTTTCTGTATCCATTCATCTATCAATGGATACCTTAAGTCACTTTTAAAACTTGGTCATACTTAAGAATAGACAAAGAGATTTTTCTTTAGATTAGCTTTTTAAAAAGTGTGTTAGGTATGCTTTCCAAGAGGACTGATTTTTAGTTGAATATTTGCACCTTATCAAAGAGTCTATCACAGTGCATTTGTTCTGAAAGTGCCGCCTTTGGAGGATGTGTGAGTGAAGAAGGGAGAAGGTCGAGGTCCCTGCCTTCCAGGACCCTTCTGGTTGGTCAGAACAGAACCCAAGAGATAATCAGAAACTCGTTATCCAGCTTAGATTGCTTTACTAGTCAGTACTAACAATCGGCTTTTCCCAAGTCATACAAAAGTTTTTTTACAAACATGGCTCATCCCTTATGTCTTCTCAAAGAGCAACCTGATTCTCAGTCGACCCTTTATTGATTGACACTAGTCCCTGGGAAACTGAATTATTTCCCCTGCTCTCTCCACTGTATCTCCTTTCTTTGGGATGCTGATTTTATGTCCACCTGACTGGATCGTGGGTGCCCGGAATAAGGGCCAACCGTCAGTTCCAGATGTTTGTCTGAGGGTGGTCCAGAGGAGATTACCAGTTGCATTGGTGGGCTGAGGAAAGCACGTTGCCTTCCCCAAGTATTAATGGTTATCACTGGTTAAGAGACGCTGAACACTGAGACATCTAGAGTGAAAATCCATCTAAGTTGTAATTTGGGAACGGACAACAAAAGAAAACTAATTTTTGGATGCAAAATTTTGACTGTAATAACTTTGTCTTTCATAGAAGTTTAATATGCAAAGTCATTGATTTTGGCTGAAGAAAACACAGCAGATACAAAAGAGCCAAAGATAGAAAGTTCCTCCAAAAGCTCATGGAGAACGGCAGTTAAAAGTTAATGCCAGGCTGGCGCCGTGGCTCACTAGGCTAATCCTCCGCCTTGCGGCGCCAGCACACCGGGTTCTAGTCCCGGTCGGGGTGCCGGATTCTGTCCCGGTTGCCCCTCTTCCAGGCCAGCTCTCTGCTGTGGCCCGGGAGTGCAGTGGAGGATGGCCCAAGTGCTTGGGCCCTGCACCCCATGGGAGACCAGGAGAAGCACCTGGCTCCTGCCATCGGATCAGCACGGTGCGCCTGCTGCAGCGCGCCGGCAGCGGCGGCCATTGGAGGGTGAACCAACAGCAAAGGAAGACCTTTCTCTCTGTCTCTCTCTCTCTCTCACTATCTATTCTGCCTGTCAATAAATAAATAAATAAATAAATAAATAAATAAAAGTTAATGCCCATTCTCATGAGCTCTCTGAACAACCTTTGCATGACCATGGAGAATCACAAAATATGCAGTAGGAAATAAAAGTAAAGAGTAAGGCTTAAAAAGCAGTCAGCACTAACAAAGAAGGGCGAGCTTTGAGTAAGCCGCTTCTCAGAGCTGAGAGGAACCACAGGCCTCATGAGGGCCGGCCTCTGTGTTTTGCAGAAGATGGGGATGCCAAAGCCCACGGGAGTGAAGTGGCTCTCCCTCCTTCCTCCCTCTCTCCCTCCCTGCCTTCTGTCTGTCTGGATTTTTATTTATTTACTTGAGAGGCAGAGGTATAGACGGAGAGAGGGCGAGACAGAGAAAAAGGTCTTCCAACTGCTGGTTTGCTCCACAAATGGCTGCAGTGGCCGGAGCTGGGTCGATGTGGAGCCAGGAGCTTCTTGAGGGTCTCCCACGTGGGTGCAGGGGCTCAAGCATTTGGAGCATCTTCTGCTTTCACAGGCCATAAGCTGAGCTGGATCAGAAGACGAGCGGCTGGGACATGAACCTGGTGCCCATATGGGATGCTGTCTCCACAGGCAAATGCTTAGCCTACTATGCTACAGCGCTGGCCCTGAAATGGCTTTTCTTTGCTTTTTTTAAAAAAGATTTTATTTATTTATTTGAAAGAGTTACACAGAGAGAGGAGAGGCAGATAAAGAGAGAGAGGTCTTCCGTCCACTGGTTCACTCCCCAACCGGCCGCAGTGGCCGCAGCTGCACCAATCCGAAGCCAGGAACCTCCTCTGGGTCTCCCACGTGGGTGCAGGGGCCCACGGACTTGGGCCATCCTCCACTGCTTCCGCAGGCCATAGCAGAGAGCTGGATCGGAAGTGGAGCAGCTGGCTCTCTAACCGGCGCCCATATGGGATGCTGGCACTTCAGGCCGGGGCGTTAACCCGCTGCGCCACAGCACCAGCCCATGAAATGGCTTTTCAATGCCACACAGTAAGGGGCAGAAAATTGGATCTGGAACCTGTTATTTTTCATGGTAACTTCTATTCTTTAACCTCACCTGCTCCAAATGTTTCCTTTTCAGTGTGGAGGATTGGTAGTCAGCTCTGCGTCGCTGTGATGAAACACCTGAGGTAGAGAGAAGAGGTTGATTTGGGGTCGTGGTTCTGGAGGTACGACGCACAGACAGCGTGGTACGGGCGGTCCTGAGGGCCTGCTGGATGGCTGCACATCATGGCGGGAGGGTGCATGCTTGTCTGTGTCTGTGAGCTCATTCTGCATCCTTAGAGAGCCACCAGGGTTCAGTCCCAGGCTCCCAGCCTAATGGCCTAATTCTAGTCCAACCACTTCCCAAGGCCTTGTCCCTAGACATCATAGTTAGATTAAATTTATCTTCTCTGAGTACCATTAATGTGAGACTTTGGAGAGTAAAGTATGTGAACTCGGGGTTAAGTATTCACATAAATGGCAGGGGTCAAATAAAAATAGAGGATTGAGGGCAAAGGTCCTGAATACAGGGAAAACCAGGTGGTGATTAATTGTATATGAAAGGGCTTTACACGAATGAAAACCAGAATATTAATATTCATATCAGCATTACCCCCCAAATTTGAAAGCCTTCCAGATATCAGAGTCTCTCAGTGTAGAGAGAAATGTTTTTTTGTTGACGTTGAGTATCAGGAAGCTAGATCCTAAGCTTTAAACAGATGGGACTGTGTGGGCTACTTACAGATAAGGTTTATAGTGTCATTGGAGCAAGCTCTGACTTTGTAAACACCGAAGGGCGTAGCAGTCAGCTCTCCATACAAGAGAACCAAAGGCGGGTCCTCCTGCAGAGGGCATAGATGACCAGGCAGAGAGGAGAGGCCGCTGTACGTGCAGCGAGTAATCCTGCAGGGCGGCTGCGTGGGGGGCTGGAGGAGACGCAGCGCCAGGCTTTCACTGCCGGCACCACCAGGCCAAGGCTGCGGCTCCTTCTGCACACCCACCACTAGCTCTGGGCCACTTGGGGGAGGGGGTAGCCCTTTTTCCAAATCAAGTGCTTGGTCAACAAAGGTTGAGGAAAGTCTGTTAAGCATGGATGTCTCTGAGTTGTGAGAGAACAGACAAGTAAAAGAATCGTTAAAAAAAAGTTCTTTGAGTTGTTCAATCTTGGAGGATTTATTTTAATGCCCTCGTATCATCCTGTTGTCTGTATACAATTCTGTTTTAGACAGGAATCCTTGCGAATCCACCTGTTATTAGGCAGTGACTTCTATAGTCTGAATGTTTATGTTTAAACTTCACGTTGGGTAAGTGTAAATAGCCAGTGGGTGTCAGTGAGTTGGTTTTCATTTTTAAGTTTTTTAAAGCACAGGTGCAAGGCCAGTACTGTGGTGTAGTAGGCTAAGCTTCCACCTGCAGCACTGGCATCCCACATGGGTGCTGGCTCATGTCCCTGCTAATCCTCTTCTGATCCAGCTCTCTGCTATGGCCTGGGAAAGCAGTGGATGATGGTTCAGTGCTTGGGCCCTTGTACTCTTGTGGGAGACCCAGAAAAATCTCCTGGCTCCTGGCTCCGGATCAGCCCAGTTCTGGCCATTGCAGCCATTTGGGGAGTGAACCAGCAGATGGGATACCTTTCTTTCTGTCTCTGTCTGTAACTCTACCTCTCAAATAAATGAAATATTAAAAGTACAGGTGCATGTATCCTGGTATTCCCTTGTCTTAGTGGAGTCCTTGGATAGGTTCTCTAAATTTTTGCTACAGTGAATTGGGTAAAGAAATCCTTAGCCTGGACAACAATGCTGCTTGACAGTATCATCAACACCACGGGACATTTTTAAGAGCTTAAGATTGGCAATTGTCAAAAGGCATGGAAAGGAGTGATATGGTGCCTAAGGTGCTTAATCTTCTTCCTGGTTTAATCCAAATAGCAATTCAGCACCAGAAATGTACAAAACCAACCGCCCCCGCCCGTCACTGCTGCGTACTCCAGCATCGCCCAATTCCACTCCCTGTCTGGATTCTAAAGGCAATTCATCGTCTTGTGCCTTTTACTGTCACATGCTATGTTGGTTGCTATAGCCAAACATCAAAAATGTGAAAAATGTGTATATTTGTGTGTAAGGATAGATCAGTAGATACACTGATATATAGTAGGTTTCTCCAGAGAGTCTTTGTCTTTGTCTATTGAACATCACAGCTTAGCCTCGCCCACTGAAACGTGCTCTTACATTGGCCTACATTAGGGAAAAATCACCTGGCATAAAACCTATTTTAGAATAGTGCTGTCTCGTGTAATTTATTGAATATTATTTTGGAAGTGAAAAATAGAGTGGTTGTATAGGTACACTTTTTTAAAAAAGGATTTATTTATTTGAAAGGCAGAGATAAAAGGAGGGAGGGGGAAAGAGAGAGAGAGATACCTGTCTTCCATCTGCTGGTTCATCCCCCAAATGGCAATAACAGCCAGGTCTGGGCCAGGCCACGCCAGAAACCAGGAGCTTCTTCCAGGTCTTCCACACGGGTGCAGGGGCCTAAACCCTTGGACCGTCTTCTACTGATTTCCCAGGTGCACTTCCAGGAGCTAGATCAAAAGTGGAGCATCCAGGACTTGAACTGACACCCATGTGGATGCCAGCCCCGTATAGGTACTCTTTCACAACATTAAGTAAAAAAATAGTAAGTCGTGGACTCTGTGTATGTGTGTTTGTATATAAATATATACATGCTTATGTATATATATAGATATACATAAATACGTATGGAAAATTAGGAACACATTTATGGATGCGTACACATCTGTATATCTATACATTATAATATATCTGCTTTGTACATATGTGCATAGAGAAGGGGGAGATTTATTATAAGGAATTGGCTAATGTTATTGGAGGCTGGCACATCCAGGATTTGCAGAGACATGTCCAAGTTGAAGTCTGAGGCAGGAGACTGCTTTAGAAACAGGGAGAGCTGGTGTTGCAGTTCTAAGGCCACCAGGCACAAGATTCCTCCTGGACTCCGCGAAGGGCCATCTTTTTGCCCTATTTAGGCCTTCAACTGATCAGACAAGGCCCATTGACTTGACAGAAGCATTCTGCTTGAGCTGGGCTGTTGACTGAAGTGTTAATCTCTGAATTACTTCCCTTAGCACTCGCACCCCCAGGATCACCCCTGCTGTTGAAAATGGCAGGTCTCCTTTTGTAAAGGCAGAATAACACTCTGCATATGTTGGTGTGTGCATATACATACACACACATACACACACATTTCTGTACATATTTCTATAAAATCTGTGGCAGACACTTAGGACATTGCAAAGGATGTGGAAGTGCGGGTGTCCTTCACAGGTGGTGACTTCACTCTCTGTGGGGAATGCGACCAGCAGGCGGATTGTTATACAAGGTAGTTCTGGTTTTACAGAAAGGAAAATACTACATGATCTCACTTGTATGTGAGATCTAAAAATAAAAACCACAAAAATAGAAAAATGGTAGTTGCTGGAATCGGGGGAAGGATGGAAAGTTACACGTCAAAGGTTACAGGGTTGCAATTATATAGGACTGTTAGCAGAAAAGATCTACTATACAATGGGAGTGCTTAAGTTAATATTATATTGTATTGGCCGGTGCCGTGGCTCACTAGGCTAATCCTCTGCCTTGCGGTGCCGGCACACCGGGTTCTAGTCCCAGTTGCCAGATTCTGTCCCGGTTGCCCCTCTTCCAGGCCAGCTCTCTGCTGTGGCCCGGGAGTGCAGTGGAGGATGGCCCAAGTGCTTGGGCCCTGCACCCCATGGGAGACCAGGAGAAGCACCTGGCTCCTGCCTTCGGATTAGTGCGGTGTGCCAGCCGCAGTGCACCGGCCGCGGTGGCCATTGGAGGGTGAACCAATGGCAAAGGAAGACATTTCTGTCTCTCTCTCTCACTGTCCACTGTGCTTGTCAAAAAAAAAAATATTGTATGGTGCTGATTTGCCAAAAGAGATTATAGGCGTGGTGGTAGAAATACAGGTAACTACATGGGATGATGGGTATGTCCATTTGCTAATTTCTGCACTAACCATGCCACTATGGTATAAGGGTACTCCACAAAGTTCATGGAAAAATGGAATCAAAAGTCTGGGTTTATATTGGTGCAAATTATTTGAAATCCAGGTATGGGTTTTTTGTAATAGGCATTTTTCATGATCTTTTTCAAGATCCCCTCTATGTAAGGGGGGATGATGCCTGTGGTGCCAGCATCTCAGACGGGCATATCCTGATGGTTCATATCCTGGCTGCCTTCTCCTCTGATCCAGCTCTCCACTATGGCCTGATAAAGTAGTGGAGGATGGCCCAAGTGCTTGGGCCCCTGCACCCACATGGGAGACCTGGAGAAAGCCCCTGTCTTCTAGTATCAGATCAGGCCAGCTCCGGCCATAGCGGCCATTTGGGGACTGAACCGGTGGATGGAAGACCTTTCTCTCTGTCCCTCTATCTGTAACTCTACCTCTCACATAAATAAATCTTTAAAAAAAGTTTTTGCAGCATAATAAACAATGTTGTAGGCCAGTTTTTCAGGATCTTTCTGAAGTACCCTTGCATGTAGTTTTTACATCTCTTCCTGGTTTCTTCACTTAGGATAATATTCTCTCATGTTCGTCTGTATTGTCCCAAATGGCAAGATTGCTAGTTTACAGGCTGTACACTATTCTACTGCATAAATACCATCATTTCTGTTTCCATTCATCCAGATGGACACTTGGGTTGATTTCATATCTTAGCTATAACAAATAGCATTGCAATGAATATGGAAGTGCAGATGTGTAAGGAAGTTGATTTAATTTCCTTTGGGTGTATACCCAGCAGAAGGGATTGCTGGATCATATGATAGTGGTCTTTTTTTTTTTGGGGGGGGGGTGGCAATACTGTATATTGTTTTCCATAATGCAATTTATGTTCCTTCTCCCAGAGTTGCCTTTTCTCCATACTCTTGCCAACACTTGTTATCTCTTAAAAATCTTATTGAGGGAGAGGAATAGGAAATGGGAGGGGAGAGACAGAAGAGGAGAGAAGCCAGGGGGAAGGGATAGGAGGTAAAGGAAGACAGGTACAGGGGAGAGGGCGAGGGCTCCTATCTGCTGGTTCACTCCCCATGTGAGTCAGGAACTTA